CCTCCGGAGAAGTGGTCCCACTTACGATGTCTCTCTTTAGGCAAGGAGTTCTTACCAATTGATTTCTTTTGGCTTAGTATAAACCTTTTCCTTTTTATACCTCTTCTCAGTGAAAATGAAACTGTGATATATATTTTTTATTCCTTTGGTTGTTTGAAAACTACAGTGAACCCTTCCTGAGTCTCTTATTCTCTGACTGAACAGACATGGTCCCATTGGCCTTTCTGGGAACTCCAGGCCCTATCAAATGTCTTCATATTTCACTTCCATTTTGAAGCTCCCACAAGAATAGCTTATCATTCACATTGTATACATTAGTAGAAGGATCAGATCTACTTCACAGAAATGAATATTTGTGTTCCTAACGATCCGAAAATAGAAATCTGATGTCACCTTTGGAGAATGGGAAGGGGGGTGACAAAAGTAGATGTCGCACAAAACACTGAAGAACCTGTGGTCATTATGGCCAAAGTGTCACCTAAGGTCTAAAATATACAACATCACACATTTCCATTGATTTTTATTTTATTATTATTTTCTTAAGAAACAGTTGGATTTGAGTGTTAGGTTATTTATTCACTTATTCTTCCTTGATCCAGCTAAATAACGAAATGTTTCCCTGACTGAAAAAAAAAAAGTCTCACAGATGAATTGCTTAAATAATTTTCATTATCTTATTCTTATTTCACCGATAGAAACATCACCAAGCTCAGGTAACCTGGTTTGTTGACTTAGTTGCACCCACTCTGATAAATTGCTTTGCCCTTCTGGGCCTGTTTTCTCATTGATAAATGGCAGTAGAGCCTGTCATAATTATGGATATGAAAACATGAAACTGAAAGCAATGGTTAACACTTCTTTCCTAGCTTTTTTGTTTTGTTTTGAAAAGTACAAAAAATGGAAACAGTGTGTAAGTTGAAATAGGATAATCATTTGTTGCTATCTAGCCAGTTTTTCTCTCAAATGGTAGGAAGCTTTTTTATGTAACACTGTTTGCGATAGAGCTTTATACTCTATAATTAGGATAAGCACTATTATATTATCTGAAAGGCAAGAAGCAGTTTATCTCTGAAGCCACAGAAGGTCCTTGTCATTTTCTTGAGATGAGGACAATTCAGTATTTTTATGATGTAGAGATTGTAGAAATGATGAAAGATGAAAAAGTTACCCTTTTAGCTTTTGTTTAGCAAAATGAAATGAATCCAAAAAATAAAATAGTTAAAACATTGAAACTCTTTGGTTATAAAATAAGGCTAGAATGCTGCTGATGTCCTTCAGAAGTTCTTAACATAGAACCTTAAAGAAAACCAAGAAGCTCTTTAAACTCAGTAATACTTTTTGATCTTGAGGAATCTCCAAGTACTTGTTGAAGATGTTTCTGGAGTTCAACTGTAGACTGTCACGTGTCTTTGAAAGCTAAATTCTCTCGGAATCATTTTTTCCTGAATCCTATAGTGTGCTATTGTCAGTAAGCTTTTAATAAAGGGGGGAAAAAGATCAGGCAATGGTCAGCAATGAAAAAGCTAGGAAATAGAAACAGAGAGCTCAAATTAAACTGTTTTTGAGAATTTAAGTATTCTTACCTGTATTGGAACTGAGGAAAGCTATCTATTAGCACTTCAAGATTCAAAGGCAGAACTAAAAATGAGTCCTGCTATGACATTTGAACAGATTGAAAAATAACATCCTTGGGACTGGATGCCAAGGACTTAGCGTTATAGATGTAGCAGATCTTCTCTTTGATCACATCCATACCATTCCATGGGTCACCCATGTGTTGACGATTTTCAGTTCTTATCTTCATCTCAACTCTGTCTCCTAAACTCAAGACTAGCACATCTGCCTGACTTCAGCTGTATATTCTTGGATGTTCAATATATGAGTGCCTTGGTTCCAATTTAGTGGTCCCCAAGCCATTGTTTCAGAAAGTACGTGTTGGATGTGAATTCTGTGTAGTTAAACAAACAAACAAACCCACAGAATACTGTACAAAATATCAGAGTGCAGTATAGATAATCAGTAGATATTTTTATGAACTATTTGTTTTCAATGCCTATGTAAATTCGTATGTATTATTGTGATAAAAATATATTTCTTAATTTTAGTTGTAGTAAAAATTAAAAAAAAACCTGCTCTAAATTTCATCTCTACCTACCTACATAGTGAGATGATTGTGAGGATTTAATGAATGTGAAGTCTTCTCAGAAAGTATAATATTGCTCAAATATTACTAGTGATAATAGGTAATTGTGAAAGATGCTTATATTACACATGGTTTATCCTTTACATATAATTAAAAATCACATGATTTGTCCTTTGCATTTAGGTAAAAATACCTTTTACCTTTGGTTCATATTTTATAGAGTTATATTTAGTTTTTCATTCCTAATTGTCTTGGAATTAGCATTTTAAAGTGTTTTGAGAGTTTCTTCAGGGATAATCTATGTTCTGTTTTGTTCTTTTTTTTAACTTTTTTTTTATTGAGTTATAGTCATTTTACAATGCTGTGTCGAATTCCAGTGTAGAGCACAATTTTTCAGTTATACATGAACATACATATATTCATTGTCACATTTTTTTTTTCACTGTGAGTTACCACAAGATCTTGTATATATTTCCCTGTGCTATACAGTGTAATCTTATTTATCTATTCTGTTTTTATAACAAGGAAACTGGCAGTAGTTTTCATTTTGAAACCTGGCTTTCATTTTGAACTCTCAGAAAAATGGTTTTGTGTGCCCTTGTCGTTGTAAAAGACCTAGTTTCAAATTTAGCTACATTGAGAAATTCTCTGTTCTTTTTACTCTCTAATCCTTGACTCAAGTTGAAGAATGCAGAATGATATTTTATTTGACTGTCTGCTTGTTGAGTCTTTGGGCATACTCTTGGAGCCAACATTTCTACTTCTATGAATTCATCCTTAGGAAATAATTGTCCACTTGGTAATATAGCATGGTATTGAGGGAGTACACGCCCTAGTCTGGGTGGGCTCAAATGCCACTCTGCCACTGACTAGCTGTGTGATTTCAGCAAAGGATACAATCTCTTTAAGCTTCACTTTTCTTTATTTGTAAATGGGAATGATAGTTTTGTCTATTTCGTAGAGATTCTTGTAAAGGTTAAATGAGATACCATTACTGCTTAACCCATTATTAGATACATAACAAAATGCTTAATAAGTGTTAGCTGTTTTTTCCCTTTTTTAGGGAGGGCATTATTAGGTTTATTTATTTATTTAGATAAAAATACCTTTTTCTTCCTTCCTTCCTTCCTTCTTACCTTTCCTTCATGGAGGAACTGGAGATTGAACCCAGGACCTTGTGTACGCTAAGCCCAGGGCCTCGTGCATGCTAAACACACATTCTACCACTGAGCTATACCCTCCCCTCTAATGTTAGCTACTTTCATAATCATTATACATTAGGTTTATTGTTATAAATGTTAGCTGCTATTATTAGTTTTAAATTCTAAAGAAGGAAAAATAAGCTCCAAAACCACTATCAAGCTTAAAATTCTCTTCTGCTGCTATAGTGGAAGATCTTCGACTCAGATTCTAAAATATTTTGTGAAATCCACGTGCTTTTACAAGTGGTAGAAATCAGTCTGCTCCCATCAAGATAATAGCACGGAAGTGCTGCAAATCTCTATTTCCTGTAAACATAGCTTCTATTTTACTTGCAATCTCTTCTTCTAGTTTTATTTGGGATGTTTAATGATGTGATAAGCCAGAGCACAGTTAAGTATCCTCATGGCCTGATTTCCCCGCTTGTCTGCAGCATCTGTGGTTCTAATACCAACGGAATTGTAGCATTGTGACTTTTTATACTATTGCCTCTTTAAACGTTCAAAAACATGAAAACAGAATGATTTATATTCACTTGCAAATTTTCTAAGTTTTCTACCAATTACTAGTTTCATGACTTCAAATTGCAGCCTTGATGTAGTTGAAAAATGCTATTAGTTTATATCCTACGTTCAGTCTCTTTAAAAATATATATTTATTTAATGGTCACTAGATTTTTAAGAGTTTTTTTGGATTCCTGGACATTTTGCCAAAGGGTTACTTTAGATATAATACAATGATGATAGGTGGCTGATGGATGAACTTTCTAAACAAAATCCAAAATTAAAATGGTTTTCATCTAGAACACATATTGTATCCAAGAAAAGTATGCCTATGAGTGTTAATATGTATACAGAGTATGGTATTAAGTAGAGAGTGTAATCTTTTAATTGATAATTAATAATTACTGACCATTTACTTTTAATACCAAATTAAAACCAAGTAGGTTTTATTGAGAGAAGATTGCTAATTTCGTGTTGTTAATTATGTATGTAATGGATTCATAGGTTTGAATCTCAGCTAAAAGAAAAGTCAAAGTCTTTTAACTACTTTGGGCTTTGGTTTCTTTGTCTATAAAATGGAGCAGTATTTCCTATTCTATAGGATAGTCAAAATGATTAAATGTGAACAGACAGAATTGTTTAATATATAGTAATGGGCCAAGAAGGCACTTGGTAATGTTCAGACTTCCAAGTTGGGGTGGGGGGCAGGATTTTCAAAATCTCATTTGATTCATAAGCAAACAAAATAGTGATATTACTGATCTAAGTCTTTTCAGTCACTCGTGACATTTATTTAGCGTCTGTAGTGTTCCAGGCACCAGAGCAGGAAATAAAAAGTATATGCTTGCCAAAATCAAGATTTGCAGTATATAAAATCTTCCTGTGTGAATTATGTATTTTTATATTTCCAAGATCTAGCATTGTTCCTGGCATATGCCACTAAATATTTACTGAATGTTAAAGATAATTTTTGTCCCCAAGTCAGAGACTAGTTGGAACTTGAAAGGGTTGGATATGGACCAATAAATGGGTGAAAGCAGTTTCATCCATTTAGGAAGCTTGAAGATGGTTGTACCCAGAGACAAATATAGTCGAAGAGAGCACAGTATTAGAATAGCCAAGTCATACTGGGTGGGGAGGGAGGTCGTGTAACATGACTGAATCAGCACACTTAGCCAAAAAAAAAAAAAATAGCTTAAGTGAGAGGAACGGTTATTTGACAGGTGTTATTTAGAAAGGAGAACCATTTGGCAGTGAAATGACTCTTAAGAGCATTAGTCTTGTTATTTAGAGAGTCATGAGAGTCATGACTATGAGGTCATGCAAGGCAGTGACCCTGCTCATCCCGAGGGAATAGTACAAAGGGGAGACTTCAGGGCAGCGATGGCACATTCGTGTTCACGCTCTTGCTCTCTTGCTCTCTTGGACCTGTTAACACTGTGAGTGCTGACGGTTAAGTTGGACTGAACCTGACAGTTCTTGGTTCACTGGGAAAGAATGCTATGAAAATTTATTCATATCTGTCAAGGGTATGGGAGGGGGAAATGGCTGTAGTTCTTTTATATAATTGCCATCCCTAGTTGATGGTTTGTATTTCCTGTCACTTTGTGAGTGACAGTGGATCTATAAGCAGTTGGCCCAGTATGGTTGAACATATGAATATGCTTTATATGACTTTAGAAGTATATATTTTGTAAAAATATGAACATAAAACAGTCAAGTAGGCTATAGGTTTTAAAAGGTTAAAATCTTTTTTTTTCCTAAATCAGGTTTGTTACAGAAAGAGAACATGGCCATTGAAGCATTTCAGATTTGCTGCCTCCTCCTGCCCCCTGAAAATAGGAGAAAGTTACAGCTGTTGATGAGGATGATGGCAAGGATCTGCTTAAATAAGGAGATGCCACCACTCTGTGATGGCGTTGGCACCCGAACACTGGTAGGTTGATTTCTAACACCTAACAGGACTTGAGTTTTGGGGGTAAAATTCACTTGAGTAAAGTTTACTAGCATGGCAACCAGAGGAAGGTACAAGGCAGGCTTACTTAAAGAGCCACCCAGACTGGTATTGTGCTTTTGGTCTTAGTGACTTAAAGAACATAGTGAAAAGCGAAGAGTGAGTCAGGGTGGACTCTGAGAGTAGAGGTATCTGCTGCTTCCTGCTCACTGTCCATGCAAAGAGAAGAAAGTGTGGGCAGAAAGGGAAACTGGGCTCCCAAGAAACAGCATTCTCTCCTCCAGGACAAAAAGGATGGCCCAGCCTTGGTGACTATAACCAGTAGGAGAGATGCTGTATATATCATGGATTAGAGAGGGGAAAAGTGAAATATAGCGTTGGACCAGACAACTTGGAAGGAGAGAGAGAACTTTTGTTTCTCGGAGTGTGATCTGAGGGTCCGTGAGTGAGGATATTTCTGAATATATTCTCAATTTTGCTTAAAAATCTAGGCTGATTTTGAATTCTACTTTGTCATGTCAGCAAGTGTTTTAAAATAGGGTTTATGTTTAATGTTACTTACTAGCAAAATTTCTTAATTTTCCTAAAAAAAAAAATCTTAGAGCAAAGCTGATATTTCATTGGGATGTACATCCTTTCCATATGCTGGTGAACCACGGTGTATGCCTAAGAGTCCACTGGCCGCTTTTAGAGGTGTGGCGTAAGATCAGAGGACCAATCAGTGCCCGGTAGAGTGATCTTGACCTTTTTTTGGGGTGGGTGGATAGGTAGCGGGGCTAATGGGCCTTTTTGAAAAGCTGAAGAAAACTTGGCACATGTTCCCCAGAAGAATGCATTTATAAAGTTGTGCATACAATTTCAAGGCAATCACAGATCTCTTGGGGTCCATAAGTCTCCAGAAAAGAGTCTTTATGTGTTTATGTGTCTTTCTCTCTACGTATATGTGAGTGAAGATAAAGTATCATCTGCAGTATGCTGATGAAATGAAGTCTTATTAAACAGAATTACATGATATCATACTTGAAGGGTTTTTTTTTAAATTGAAGTATAGTTGATATACAATACTACGTAAGTTGTAGGTGTACAATATAGTAATCCACAACTTTTAAAGGCTATACTTAATTTATAGTTACTATAAACGTGGGCTATATTCCCTGTGCTGTGCAATATATCCTTGTAGCTTATTTGATATCCTTGTACCTCTTAATCATGGGGGTACTTCCCATCCCCTTTGCTTTCCCCGCTCATAGCTACTAGTTTGTTCTCTATATTTGTGAGACTGTTTCTTTTTTGTTATATTCACTAGTTTCTTATATTTTTTAGATTCCACATATAAGTGATATCATATAGTATTTGTCTTTCTCTGCCTGACTTATTTTATTTAAGTGCTTTTAAGTTTTGAAATAAGATATCATCAATAAAATCAATTGGAAAAGGAAAAAAAAAGTCCATTCAAAGGACAGTATTAAGAATGGAGTGGAAAAAAAAAAGAATGGAGTAGCTAAAATGAACTCTATGGAAGCGACTGCTGTAATAATATTTTTTATATTTCATCACTTAGTACACTTCTTGTGGTGTCTCATGGTTTTTTGTTCAAAGGTGTTTGTCAAATGTACATACAAAATCCTAGAGAAAACAATAGTTAACTAGGAAAAACTATGATGGTTGAAGCATGCAGACTGTACTAACAGATTTTTTTTTCAAAAAAAAAAAGAATAATGAACTTAGGATATTGTTAGACTAAATGGCTGTAAAGTACTTTGAACTTAAAAGTACTGCATGATTGAAGTTGTGCTGGTGATAATAATTTTCAGAATTTGTTTAAATATATATTTAAAACCGTCTACAACAGGGGGTGCCTTTAAAGACCTCTCAGACAGCATCTCTGGTAAGTCTCGGAGAGATGACATGCACATTTTGTTCATGCTGGTTGATGAGAAAATCAGCCCATCTGAAATGACCAGGTGTGGTCAGGAGCCAGGTAAGATGTGCGCCCTGTGCTGTGGGCCATTTCTCACTGACTAGTCACATTTGCTTTTTGCAAATCAGATTTCAGGCAGTTCAGAATAGGGAAAAAACTTTACGTGTGTTTATTTAAAAATTCAACCCCCCTCTTTTTTTTTAAGATGGTTCAGACATTTTCCCGTTGCATCTTGTGTTCCAAGGGTGAGGTGGACTTGGATGACTTATTAGCTGCTAGGCTGGTGACATTTCTGATGGACAATTTTGAGGAGATTCTGAAAGTCCCTTTGGCCTTGCAGACCTCCACAGAGGAGCGTGTAGCCCATCTACGAAGAGTCCAGGTAAAGGAAGAGATATTATCAGTCCTATACAATTGCTGGCAGAAAGTCCTGTCAGTTTGCTAGCCTTCTTGGGACTTTTTGTTACAAGTATTAAGTGAATTAATACGTACAAAGTGCTTACAACAGGGCTTGGCACATAGTAAGAACCACATGAGTTTATTATTATCTTTGAAAATTTATGGAATGGCCACTAGGTTTTGTTGTGTCAGCTAACGCTACGGACTTTTGATTGTTCAGAATCTACATATACTTCCTGATGGAAAGGATTTAAATGCAGTAATGTTTTGATTCATAATAGCCCTGCGACTTAGATACATTTTTTGGGTAAGAAGGCTGAGGCCCAGAGAACTTGAGTAATTTGTCCAAGGTCACAGAGCCAGCATTCAAACTGATGTGGTCATTCTCCAGAATTAGTGCTCTTAACTACCTTGCCAGACTGCATTACTGTAAAACATGGTGTTGTAGGGCACGGCTTTAGAGCCGTAAGGATCTGGGCCAAACTCCTGGCTCCGCTCTTTCATGGTTGTATGGCTCTGGGCAAGTCCTTTAACCCCTCTGGATTTTAGTTTCTCTAAGTGTTAAAATGGGCCATACCTATTCTGTGAAGAGTTGTGAAGAGCAGAATACTACATTGTAAAATTGCTAGCATAAATATCTGGCATATGGCAGATGCTTTTTGAAAGGTAGCTATTTTTATTGTTGTTGTTATTGTTTTTTTAACTTTTTTTATTGATTTATAATCATTTTACAATGTTGTGTCAAATTCCAGTGTGGAGCACAATTTTTCAGTTATACATGAACATATATATATTCATTGTCACATT